AATAAAACAAATACAATGGATATGTATGTGCATTTGAAAGAAAATGTCAAAACTCTGGTTTTAGTAAAATAACATGTCAATTCTTGTAGCAGCAAAGAAGTCTTCCTTGTAGTTATGGTGAGTGAAAGAAGAGAGCACCTGCCTCACACTCTGCCAGTAAAATGTAAACCACCATTCTGTGTTCTGAGCTAGTAAGTCAGATGAGCAGAAATCTTAAGGTTATTTAAATACAATTAATCAAACCTTGGGAGAAGAGATTTAAGCTTTCAGTACAAAAAAGTAGTGTAGCAAATAAATGCAAATACATCCTAATACATAGGACAATGCTAAATAAAAGCAGAGAGAGTAGAAACATCTATTTTAAGAAATAAAAATTTATATAGTAACTCATGTTCTAAAATGTTTTCAATAATGTTCACATAAGTAAAAATAAATCTACAGGAAATTCTGAATGTTTTTTATGTACAACTCAATAGGAAATCACCCAGAAACTGCATATAATTGAAAATATACCTGCCAGCTGACATGCTGAATGAAATTGTTTTAAAAAATTTTATTGATTCCTTACCTCTCACCCGTTTCTTTTTTTTCCGTTTTTTTTATTGGATATTTTATTTACATTTCAGATGTTACCCCCTTACCCCGTTTCCCCTTTGCCCCATTTCTTGTTATTAATTCTTAGCACATTGTAACTGTCATGTTAAATAATTACATGTACTAATCATAATAAATTATTTTAATTTTATTTTTCAAAAACAAATAAGATCAATGTTTATGTAAATATGTACAGTTCAATGTTTCCACTTCTTAAAAAACACAATTTTCCCTTTTAGAATCACCTTTACAACTTGGTGACAACTTTAGAAATAAATTAGTAGTTTCATCTTTTGGGGAAAAGTGAAGTAATGCAGCTTACTATTTTATATAAATAATACGTGACAACTGAATAGAACTGCACTCGTGTTCCTGCTCTAAAAAGCAAATGTTCAACATTTTCCCAACAAGTGAATAAGTTTTCATCAAACAAGGAAAAAGAAAAACACACACACACACAAATCATAACATGGATTTAATATGTCTGTGGAAAAAAATAACTCCATATTTTATCTTTGAAGAGGGCCTTTAAAGGTCCTACCTGATCAAATTAAAAATGTGAAGGTAACGCCTGTAAGGTTTTCCCATTTGCTGCATGGATGTAGTGTGGTGGCGTGGCACATCTGTTCCACGCGTGCTGCATGTGGCACATCCATACCATGAATGGAACCAAGGAGAACAGGTAAGATAGCGGTGTGCATCTCTGTCAGCAGCACCATCCGCACAATGGGAAGGCATGCTGCACTTACCTTAACGGGATTTTAGAGTAGTACATAAGAATGACTAAAAGGTGCAGAAGGGTAAAGATTAGGTATGACTAACATCTAAGAGTCTGAAACACTCGAAATGCTTTCAAGATACAGTAAACCTGAACATCCACACAATTTAAAATGCTCAGTGTGCTGCTCCTCCCTCTACTCACCTAGACACTAAAGCACTATAAAGTATACTCACTACAATGATTAGTATTACCTTCAAGAATTATTTTCAGGGGGCTGGAGAGATGGCTCAGTGGTTAAGAGCACGGACTGCTCTTCCAGAGGTCCTGAGTTCAAATCCCAGCAACCACATGGTGGCTCACAACCATCCATAAAGAGATTGGATGCCCTCTTCTGGTGTGTCTGAAGACAGCTACAGTGTACTCATAATAAAATAAATAAATAAATCTTTAAAAAAAAAAAAAGAATTATTTTCAGATCTCAAAACCTTAAATCTTCTTTAACATGTTATTTTTATAGTTTCAATACAGAAGTGATTCCAATGATATAAAATAAAAATAAATTTTTCTTTGTGCTAACTTTAAATGTATATACCATAAATGATTATGCTTTCACTCAAACAAACCAAATGTGGAAAAATTTCAAAATCACTTTCTTTTTAAATACCAGGGACAATGTTAAGTTAAAGCTGGTGTCTACAGCAACTTAAAGCTACACTATAACAACACTGCCATCTAGTGTTCATGTTAAAAAAAGAACATCCAATCTAAGTGTTATTGATGTGTGTTAAGTTTAAATTGTGTTTCAGGTGGGCAAGAGTAGTTGACAGATAAATAAAAGGAACAAGAAGAAACACAGAACCGGCACTGACAGTCACTGCTGAGCAAAGGCAAAGTGAGGTGACACAACCTCCTTGTTGCCTCACAACAAGATTTTGTTCTTGAACACGGTGCGTGTTTTTGTTTTTGTTTTTTTCTTTTCCTGGATAATTTATTGACCAGGCAGAAGCAAAGGTTAAATCCTTAAGCCTAGGTATATTTATCTTCTTGGTTTTTCCTATCTTTTATATTCTAATAATTGGAATGACCAAGTTCCAAAACAATTTTATAAACAAATATATATGCATGTTCATTTACATGCTTTCAATATCTGAAACACCATAAATACCAAATGTTGATGAGAAGAGGTAACAAAAGATCAAAACTTCCACTGCCATGAGTTACCAGATAAAGACACACTCTGAGCCAAGCTACTCCTAACTATTTTAGTACCAGTAATGTACACACAAGGATTGGTGACACTGGTCACATTGTTCATTACAGAACACTCGGTAAATCTCTACATCAGAAACCTCTCACTGTATGTAACTTTAATTTTTCCTTAAGAGAGTATAACTGCTGAGTCTATTTCTAAACAAGTAAGATTCCCTAGTAACTCAAGGCACGATAGACGAGGCACAAAGTGTGCTGTGTGGCAGGGGTGACACTCAGAAGAGCAATAGTAGCAATGGTGCTGCACTATTACCACACAGCCACATCTAATGCCAACCAAGCTCCTAGAACAGCAGCTGCCAACAAGTGTCTCCTTGCTTAGTTCCCAAACTTTGGTCCTGCCTTCCCCCCCCCCCACCGCCGCCCTTTTCTGAACTGTATCCAAATGTCAACTGATGGCACTGCTTTTCCTTTTTGTGCAGTTATTGTTTAAGTATATCAGAAATACTAAAGAACAAAACAACTCCGCTCATGCTTTCCAGTCAAGTTCAACTTTTACCTTGGCTGCCACATGTTTCTTACAACGCAGAAGTAATCATTTTCTGCTGTTAGTCTCCCATGAGCCTCTCAAGCCTCTCACATGTTCCTTTACAGCCTTTTAATGCTATTTTTACGTATCCTCCCTCACTGACCCCCATTAAGTTGCAAACTCCCAAAGGAAAGTTTTAAAAAATTATTCTTGTTTGGTTCTCAAAAAGGTAATTTGGGGGCATCTAAGAATTATATTCATATACACTGTAATGTTGCTTCTTTTCCACTTTAAAGTTGTTTTTTTCTTCTCTTCTAAGCTGAATTTGTTTAAAGGTAATAACACCTGATATCCATTTCAGTTACTGCAGTAGCAGAAACAAATAAGAAAGTTGTATGCAGAAAATTACTAACAAGAATAAAGGCTAAACAAGTGCTATAAACTTAAGAACCCAGAACTCAGAAGGTAATGCAAAGGATTGTAAATACAGTAGGGGCAAGATGACAAAATCCTGTCTCAACAAAAGAATCAAGAAGAAAGGTACTAATGAAGTCCATGCTTGACTAAATAATGATCATAACTTCAGAAACAGCAAGTTTTAAAAATATAGAAAAAACTTTTAATACAGATTAAAACTGAATTAGTTTTTTAAAAACTCTCAGCACCTGCTAATTATTTATACAGCCTAGCAACTGACTAGAATACCTTCCTTCAACTGCAGACTTTGTGCACACACTTTCTATAGATGTTCATATAAAGTCCTATGTTATACAGAAAATGATCTAGATCCAATGTCAAATATGTTGAGACCACAATCTATCTTTGGTACTTTAAGTCTTTAGTGAATTAAAAGCTATCATTACATGTTATAAAACCTGACACCTATCCTGAAATCAAATTTAAAGTGAACTAATTAGTATGTAAATTTAACTATTTACATATTACCAACTATAAAATGTATTCCTTAATACAAACTACCCACTGCATCTGACATGACATGTGTTCTAAGAGATGCCACTTTACATCGTTTTGCCTTTTCTATTCCTAGTACACACTAAGTCTTTCTGAAACGTTTAAGAAATCTAGCATGGCTATACTTACAGAATTTTTTTAAAGGTGAATGAACTACTTAAAAACAAAATACCCAAACCAAAATATTCATTTTCTACTTCTGAGCTTATGCTGCCATCTAGTGAAATCCTGAGAGTTTAGCTATTCTGCTGGAAAACAGTAATAGCACGCCAACCTGGAAAGTAGATTTATGAGAAATAGACACTATAGATTATTTTCCTACACATTTAAAAGATGCGTCCATTAAATTATGCTTACATATTATAATCCATCAATTTAATCATCAAGCTATTTGTTTAATCAGCAATAATTTTTAAAATAACTTTACTGAAAAAAAGTGAATCAGAAACATTAAATTGATTTTGTTATCATTTATAAATTCTGTGATTACTCCCAAGGAGTTTGTGTCTGGAATTTTTAATACAGCTGCCCATCAGCATCCTCAGGAGGCTTGTTGAAGGGCCCCATCCATATGTGCCAAAGGTGGAGATGCACAAGCCCCATGTATAAAACAGCATATATTTACATACAGTGAACCTCATCTCCAATATACTTTAAATCATCTATCACTTATAAAAACATAATTTAATGTAAGTGCTATATAAACAGTTGTTATATTATATTTATATTCGTATTAAATAACAAGAAATGGCCTATATATGCACAGTACAGAAGAATGCTACTGTCTTCTTTTCCTGACTATAGTTGGTTGAATACATGAATCCCAAACCTAGCTCTAAAAAGGGCCAACTGTAGTTACTAAGAACAATATTCATTGTACAGTTAAAATATTAACATTTGTTGAGCAAAAATCTCTATGCAGATTTTCATACTACCTGAAGAACTGACTGGGAAAGAATCCAGCATGAGGCCTACCTGGGAGAAGATATTTGCTGTTGGAGCCACTCTGCTGTCCACTATACTATACAATATTGCTAATAATCTGTCCAGTGGAAATGGCTTTGGTCCAAGAAGATGATTGCTTGTCTGTTGAGAAAAGAGAACAGAAGACTTTTTCTTACACCACAACATATGCTTTCTATACTATAAATTCCCAGTAGTAATATAGTTACAGTTTTTCTCTCAAATATACTAACAAACTTAACCTAGAGTCCTTAAAACATTGCCTGTTATCATGATCTATGTTTTGGCATGTTTATTAGCATCCACTAATTATACACAACAATGGGTTTCATGATAACATTTTGCTACACATAGATAATGCAGTTGACCACATTCACACACCACTTGCACTCTCACTGTCCTCCCACTCCTACAGACCCTCTTCTTCCTATCTACTCTTCCTTTATGTCCATAATTGTGCTAACCCAGTAAGTTTCATTTCAGGCTTGTTGGAGCATAGCCGCTGAAGAAATCTCTCCCCCTCCTCAGGAAGGGGAGTCAAGCACCCCTGCCAATTCTGGGCTGCAGGCTCTACCTTGTGCAGATAATACCTATCTTTTATAAATGACCTTAAATTTCCCTTATACCAATAAACATGAAAAAACTCAGCCATTTGCAGTCTCGACATTGCTATCCTGTTGCACACATTCCCAAATGATTTTTTCAAGATAATGTATAACCAAAACTAAGACTTTTTAAAAAAATGTATGTGTATGTGTGTGAGCCTGAAAGCATTCATGTGCACCAGAGGCATGCTGGTGGCTTCAGAGGCTGATGAACCTGCTGCAGTCCCTGAAACTGGAGCTACACAGCTGTAAGCACTTGCTCACAGATGCTCTTCACTGCTGAGCATCTCTCCAGCTCCCAAACCAGGGTCTTAACTGCTGGACTAAAATATATCACTTATTTCCCACCATTCCTCTTCAGACCAATTCTTGGAAAAAGTTCAACATAGTTTTGAAAAGATCAAGAACTAAAAATACCATCTTAATTTAGCAAAGTAATAAAGTTGTATAATTTGTAAATAAGCTGTCAGCCTAAAATAATTTATAAAAACTTTAAACACAGCAAATGTTCATAGTTGTGGATATTCATATGGTTCAATCACGTGCCATTAGAGAAATCACAATAATGAAATTCCATTCTGTTAATAGATAACTTTAAAAGCAGGTTAAAAATATAAGAACTTCCTATTAACAGTGGAAAATAAATTGGGAAAGTATATCCCTAAGAGTAAATACATATTTGAAAGAAAAATGTAATGAAAAAAGCCCAAAACCTGGTCAAAGTATACAAAAGCAGTGTTTACTTCACTTATTTACAGAGAATTTAAAGATTATTTTCCTGTTCTTAAATTTTGCAAGCTTTTTCTACCAAATACTTCAAACATTGAGAAAAGCAGAAGTTTAATACAACAAATAGCAACGTGCTCACTACCCAATTTTATCAAATCCAAATATTATATAATATATGCAAAGAAATAAAATCGTAGACTGTGTTACTAATAAGTTGAAGTCCACTGAACCCTTTCCTCCCTCACTGTCCCTTTCTGTGCCTGGAAAGACTTCCAGTGTAAAGCACGGTGCTCTAACCCTCACACGGGGCTTCACAACGGCACTGCTTATCCGTCTAGTAGAGGCGTGGAGCACCATAGGACTTTAAATTCCATACAAGTTGTATCATTTTAGATGTAGCTTTATACCTCACTGACTTTTCCCTTTAATATTACATTTTCTGAGATTTATCTATATTTTACATATTTTATAGCTCTGAAGTGGAAATTTCTTGTTTCTTTGGAGACTTAGTTGTGTCATGGGATATTTTTCTGGAAACTGTCTTATGATATGATTGTTTTGCTGAAGAAGACACATTGGAGGATGTTTTGCTGAGAAAAGACGTGGCATTTTTCTGGAAACAGCTTGGAAAAGGGGCACGTGATGTTTTGAGAGGACAGGTAATGTTTGGAAAAGAGATAAATATAACCCAACAGACAGGGGATGACACTGTGTAGAATTGGTTTGCCTTGCTGCTCCTTGCTGGTCTGAATATGCTGTGTGGTGCTGTATGCCTGGCCTTCTTTGATGAACATCTTTTGTTGTGACTTTACAGAGAAAAACACAGAAAAGAACTTCTGGTGCTGTCCAGAGGCTTCTTGCCACTTCCAAAGACTCAGCAGATTGGCAGAGCCTTGCTGTTCCTCTGGATTAAATTACCGTTGCTGATTTGTGAATGGTATTTGCTGATTTGTGAATGGTATCTTCGAGTAGATGGAGCTACTGCTGCTGATTCATGTGAACTGAACTGCTGATGTCCTGACAACAAAGAATGGATTCATCCCAAAGAAGTATTTCTAAACAGGTCTACATCCTCCTTTGCCTTATTAACCTTCCCTTTCCATTACCTCTGGTAGGTGGTGGGCTAGAAGGGAGGTTAAAGCATTTAAATATACTTATTAAAGTAGGCTTTAGGCTGGAGAGATGGCTTGGTGGTTAAGAGCACTGAATGCTCTTCCAAAGATCCTGAGTTCAATTCCCAGTAACCACATTTCAGATTCTCACATCTGTAATGAGATCCAATGCTCTCTTCTGGTGTGTCTGAAGACAGCTACAGTGTACTCATATAAATAAAATAAATCTTTTAAAAAAAAAGAAAAAGAATTTAAAGTAGGTTTTGAAAACTATAAGCCTACACAGCCCTAACCTATTCTTAATCTTTTCCTTCCATTTTTATGACTATATCACTACCATATTTACTTCTTAAGAAAGCCATCACTACTATAGATATGCTGCAATCGATAATCCTGCACCTCTCCTTGTGTACACACATACACATGTACTTCTGCTGGGACACTGCTGGGAGTTTGTCAACAGTATTATTTGTTTGTTTGTTTTCCCTTCTTGAGCACATAGGAAGACTTAATGTCTCCATTTTTGCAGATGGATGGAGGCCATTTAGCTTAGTTCTGGCTTCTGGGATATGAGCAGAAGTGATGTAAGTACTTCTAAGAAAAGACTTTTCAAACCATTGGTCCTCTCTCTCCTCCTTGCTCCCTTTGCTGTTACTTCAGGCCAGTGTGTTTCACTTGGCATCACTGTTGGATGGAACAGGCCATGTAACTCTTAATTGGTTACACTGTGAGCAACACTTAAGTTCTGTCCTGGTAAGCCATTCAGAGTCTTGGGATTTCTTTTTCCTGCAGTGCAACCTAGCATTAGCCTTGAACAATATACACATTTAGTTCGTATTTAATTTGATGAGATACTGCCAACCTACAGAGTAGGCAGACTGTGTTTTATAGCCTGATTTACATGTCATTTGAACATAGAATCATCAATCCTCAGTTCTGTCAATCCAAGACTGCAATGCTGCACTGTGGTGTAACGTGCACTGCCTGTTAGTTTTTGAGTTTCTGTTTGTATCATTTCCTCCTTAGTCATTCTGTAATGGGTTTGTAAACCTGCTCACACATTCTAATCTCCTGCCAACTGTATGAGTTCAAGAGAGCAGGAAACATTATTAAAGGCTTTAGTGGAGAACCTTGTAGCAGGATATTTATTCTGCTACACTGTATTCGCAGTGGAGCTCTGTGACTAGGCAATAGAAGAGGAGATGGAGCTGGGAGAAAAAGAGAGGAAGGGGAGGGGAGAAATAGAGGAAGGGGAGGAGAGAAGGAGGCTATGGAGAACTACGGATGGGTCGAAATCTGTCCTGGGTAGCAACTTCTATCAAAAGGTTAGGACTGAGTAACAATTTTAATTGTGTGGGCATCTTGTTAATTGAGCATTTCTAAATATATAAATCCTTCAGAAAATCATTAAGCTTTAAGCTTCATTCTACCAGGTACTGTGAGGATGGCAGATATTGTCTGGGGTTCAGCCGAGCTTTGTAGATGCAGTGTGGTGGAGTGGCAGAGCCATCCCCCATGCTGGCGTCTCGTGAGTGCCAGGGCCTGTGCATCTAGCTAGCTGGAGCCCCGTTCAGAGCCGAGGAGCAGCAGGAACATGGAGGCTTCCTGGGAACAAGCTGGATCGGGCGTCATTTTCTAAATATTCCCCTACAGAACCTAGTATTGGATCCTGGTTCAAACTATAAAAAGGTGGGGGAAATTATTGAATTTCTTCAAAACTGAAGAAAAGACAGAGTTGAAAGAATTACCCTTGGAATAAAGTATACAGGGACCAAAGGAAATAAAGAATGTGAATGGCTTTGAAAAGGAAAAAATGTCTAATATATCTATCTACTCAATACCTCAAGAAGAAAAATAAGATAAAGGGGAGAAGAGGCAACATATGAAACATCAACCAAATTCAAGATAATAAGAAGCTCAACACCAGATAACTATAGCACAAGTGTGACAGTAACAACAGAGACACACATAATGAAGAGCAGTGAGAGCACACACAACTGTAAGAGTAACAACAGAGACACACATAATGAAGAGCAGTGAGAGCACACACAACTGTAACAGTAACAACAGAGACACACATAATGAAGAGCAGTGAGAGCACACACACATCAGAAAAGTGAGAGGCTGAGAGACCTTTTTATTGCAGCAACAATGAAAGACAAAAGACAATGAAATAAAAGTTTTGCTTCTTAAAGTTCTGAAAAAAACACCAGTAGTTAAAGGAGAGTGAAGAAGAGCTCATAGTATCAACAGTGTGAACTTCAGTTCTTCCTCTCCACCTCAGCCCAGAGTCAGCAGCAGTTTGGGGACACAGAGCAGCTGGAGCTATCTATCTTTTAAATCTACTCACTGGTTTTAACCTTTAGCACTAACCCTCTGTTAAAAGTACTCAGTGAGTATATTAACTGAGCTTTTCTAGATTCTTCAGACAAAATTAGCTTGGTTTTGAATTGTGGTTTTAACTTCCTTTGATCTGCTTATGAATATACATCACTCTGCGAACTCTCATAAATGTTCCCACGTGTGATCCCTTTCTTTACATTGGAGTTTTGTTTTGTTTGAGACAGAATTGACAGAATCTGGCTGGCCTGATACTCTCTGTATAGGCCAGATTGGCCTTGAACTCATAGAGATCTGTTTGCCTCTTTGCCTTCTGAGTAAAAGTCCTGGAATTAAGTACATTAAAAAGGTATACAAATCATTTGCTTATGATAATCATAAAAAATTCATTAAAAAATTCTTTTCTAAGATCTTATCATTTATTAAAGACAAACTAATTTGTATACTAATGAGATATATGTTTACATAAATAATTAAATCTTTGCTGAATATCTGATGCAAGATGTAAAGCAGTTTCAATGTTTTGCAAAGTTGATCAGCATTTTGGTTTTATACTCATTGTGGTGAGAACATCATTTTGAAAACACACATCAGACAAAATGGCAGAAGTATTCGGAAGGGATTTTCTGGAATTGCTTGAAATTCTTTTCTGTCTTAAGCTCAATCTAAATTTCATTTTACTCAAACTAGTAGGCCAAACAATAATTTTTAAAAGCCAAGTATTCTAAACTGAAATAATCCAAAGATAAACTAAACTGATAACTTATATGCTGAGAAACAATGGTAGAAAAATATTGAAGATTTTGTTTCCTGTAATTAAGCTATTATATTTTTTAAGAGCAGGAAACTTTGTATGTGTAGTAAAAACACTGCAATTTGTAACAAACAATTGTTTCAAATCTGAACATATGCTTTTCACACAGCATGATGTCATGCCAAGTTCTGTGATGCAACCTGGGCCAACCCTCAGATCACTGCAAGTTTGATTTTAAACTAATGTTTGGTTGTTGAATGTTTAGCAATCTTTTACTATAGACACAGGGAGTCAAGACCCATAGTATAAAAACTTTTGTACTCTTCATTTCCAAATTTCACATTGTTGAAACCAAATCTCTCATCTGCTTAAGTGTTTATGGTTTCTCATTTTTATTTCACTAATGGATTTGGTGGGAAGGGGGTTGTGAAGTAAAAAGGAAGAAAGTAACTAAGTTTAATCCACTGTGTTTAGCTAAACAATCCAGGGAGAACTTTTCCATCAAGAAAGTTATTAAAGGTCTGTCAATTCAGTTTAATCTCTAGCACCCACTCCTTTCAATTTTCTTTCAGTGTACTTAATAAAATATCATTAGATGGTAACATCATTAATATAAAAAGTTCTTATATGCACATAAAGTTACACATTCATCAACTTCTTTAATGATCCTAAAAACCCCAAATCAAAAAAATAAAATAAAAACTTAATTTAAATTAAGTTTTAAGTCCATACAAATGTTTTAAGTGCAGAGAAGAAAGCAGAGTTAGGCTCAGTGTTACATGATGGCT